CTTCATTTCCCTGAAGACTGGGTCTTGGGGACCAACACATCCTCCCTCAGCAAGAACTAAGTGAAGGGGACCTGCTGGCTAGGAGACCTCACACCAGTCACAAGTCCTGATGTGTCTAGGTCCTGAGGGAAAGGGGAACAACCTAGACATAGGGGTCTTGCCACATATGGCATTTTTGGAGAAGGTGGTACAGAATGGGAGGGAGCCAATCTTTTCAAAGGGGAACAGGGACTGGGGGATGAGCCCAGAACCAATCCTCTGGGTATCATGAATAGATGACGCTCACCTGCCCCCAGAGCCCACCTTCCACAGCTAGACAACTTGCAAGGGGCCAGAAGCCATTGCCAAAACCAAGACCAAAGAGGGGACATTCTGGCCCACAACTCCAGTGGGCTTACTTCGTGACCTGCCTTATGTCCAAACCGCAAGTCCTTTGGCAGTCTCACCAGCTCACATTTACTGAGCACTCAAGTCACTGTACACAAACATTCTATCCTCTCAGACACCCCATGAAATAAGGGCTCCTGGTAGTAGTTACCTCGCACACTATTTTTTTTTTGGCAGTGCTAAAGATTGCACTCAGGGCCTTGCGCATGCTAGGCGAGCATTATACCACTGAGCCACATCCCCAGCCCTGGCCTGGTAGCCCCATTTTAGAGAAGAGGAGACTAAGCCCCACACACACTGTGCTAGTTTGCTCCTTTTCCCCAAACACACCCATTTACCAGCATCTTCTGGGTCCCAACATGGCTAGTCTAGGTCCCTCCACTCACTCCCACCCCAATGGCAAGCTCTCAGGGCCTGAGACAGACTCAAGTGGGGGAGTTACTGTTCTCTTGGTGCTACTAAGAATTCCTCAAGAGACGGAAAACAGCAGCCAGACAGGAAGGCACATGCCTGTACTCTCATCAACTCAGGAGGCTGAGGCAGGAGGATCCAAGTGCAAGACCAGCCTCAGCAATTTAGTGAGACCCTTAGCAATTTAGTGAGAGCCTGTGTCAAAACTGGGGATGCATGGGGCCAGGGTTTTGGCTCAGTGGTAGAGAGCTTGCCTACCATGCATGAGGCACTGGGTTCAATTGTGACACCACATAAAAATAAAAACAAATAATATAAAGGTACTGTCTCCATCTGCAACTAAAAAAACATTAAAAAAAAAAAAAAAAGGACTGGGGATGTACCTCAGTGGTAAAGCACTACAGGATTCAATCCCCAATACCACAAAAAAAGAGAGACCAACACACATGCAGGGGAACAACTACCCCAGGCCCCTCCCTGCCTTGGGCTATATGGGTAGAGATCTGCCCGATTCACCACATGCCACATCTGCCCACCCTGCTGCCCGACTCACAAAGCCGTTGCCCATGATGCGGCAAAGCCCCTTGAGGGAGTCGCAGTCTCTGTTGGTGAAGTGGAACTGTGCCAGCTGGGAGTTGCGAAACAGGGGGCCCAATGTGGTCTGGAGGCAACGAAGGAGGGTACAACTGGGTCACCACGAGGATATGGAGCATGGGGGGGGTAGATTGGGTGGGCTGGGGGGAGTCTCACCAGCAGCTGCTGCGGGATCAGCTGCATGATCAACTTCTGTGGCCACTGGTCAGTCTCCCTGCAGGAAGGAGCAGGTCAGGGAGCGCCTTCTGGCCATGAGCCCACCCAGTCCCCTGTCCAGGCACTCACAGGTTCTCGCCCTGGTTCACGTAGGCCTGGCAGGGCAGGGCCCGTTTCAACTTTGCGGTAGAGTCAGAGTAGGGTCTGCGTTTCTGTGGGAGCAAGGAGAATGGGGGTCATAGGACACAGCCTAGAAGCCCAGGCTGGCCCCCACCCATGGGGACTGGTGGAAGCCTAGGCCAGTGACCTGACAAAGACTTGCTCACCTCCTGCCATTCCAGGACGCCGCTCCAGGCCAGCAGCTTATTGCTGAGACGGTGTTCACTTACAGCCAGACCCCCAAGGGAGAGGCCAGGTGAGGAAGGCCCGATGGGACCCAGAGCCCCGAAGACCCGAGCACCTTCCTGTGGCAGAGGGGGGTGAAGAAACTCAGACCAGGAGACCTTTAAGGACAGGCTGTGTACACACACTCCAGAAAAGACATCCCAATGTTCAAATTCCATGCTAGACACTCCCAGGGCCCCATCCAAGCCCCTTGCCCTAGTAGTCAACACCCCTCAAGGTTGACCCCATGTCCTCCCCCCCCCACAGCCCACTGGTCACATGACACTGGTCTGAATAGGTCTTGTTCCTCCTTCAGTCTCTGCTCCAGCTGTGTTCTCAGTCTGGAATGTCATCCTGTCCCTTTAGGGGATATGCCACCACTCATCCTCTGCAGCCTGAACAATTTGTCAGATCTAACTCAAAAGCCAGCTGTCTGGAGGATTCCTATACCCAGCAGGGCCTGCTGGCAGGCCCCACATATATAACAAGCCCTGTCCTGTACAGTGGCTGGTCTTGTCCCTCCAAAACTCAGAATACTTCTAGGACTACCCATCATCCTAAAAAGAAAGTCCAAACTCCCTTGCCAGCTTGTGCCAACCTTTCCAGGCATAGGGTGGCCTTTCTTGCTGACCCCAGGGAGGCAGTACCAAGAAATAAACGGAGGAATAGGCTATTCAGGAAAAAGGGGAAGGCATTCGGAAGAGGGTATGACAAATCCTGGAGGAGTCACACCAGAATGCTTGCAAAACACCAGAAAGCACCATACTACCAAACCAAAGCACAAGTTCTTCTCACAGGGCCCTCTCTAAACTGTCTTTTTAAAATCAAACACATCAAAGCAAACAAGAGAAAGAGGTTGGAAGCAGGAAATGTGTGAAAATCTCAGTAGTAGGTACAAGCAAAATTATAAGAGTTGTTACCTTTCTTCTTACTTAGTCACTAATGGATATTTTCCACATTCCTTATAAAGCATATAGAGATCTTTTTATCCCAGAATAATGACAAGCAGGAAAATACTTATTTTATACAGGTCTTAAGATGAATAAAAACATGAGCAAGCATATAGTCTACCTGGACAGGTGAGTCGGGGATTTGAGCAAACATACAAGATCAAGAAGAAAACCAGAGAGGGCCAAGGATATACATTGTTGGGGTGGGGGGAGAAAACTAGATAGAGAACATTCCAGTGTAAGAAAGTGTTGATGTGTTCAAGGCCGGAGTGTGTCTGGGACAGAGAAGAGGTGATGAAAGCCCATGTTTGCAGGTACCCACCTGGGAGGCTCAACACCTGAGCAAAGGTAGGAAAAACACAGTTACAGGAGTCCTGGGAGATGAGGGTGTACTTATGATACATAAGACCCAGGAATTATGGAGTGCTTACCTGGGCTACCTGAACTATATACATGTTCTGTTGAGAGCCCAATATATGATCCAAACACAGTTAAGGTCTGCTTGTCTAGAAGAGTAGACTGAGCACTTAGAATCTGATATGTTTGGATCTGGAGTCACACACAGTGAGTAAACACCAGGATGTTTGCCTAAACCCTACCTACACCTGCAACTTCAGGATGAGCATATGGAAGCAGAAGGACACAGTTAGGGTCTAGACTGAAAGAAACCCCAAAGGAAATCTCATATCTAGGCAAGTGTGTGCAAAATTGTGCTGATTTGCTATTTACTGCACAGGGTACCTCTGTGGGGATTTGGAGGGAAGTTTAAAGTCTTCCAATGCATGTTTGAGGATTTAGGAAGCATATTTGAACAACTAGATAGGAATGCTTCAGGCAGCAGGAAGGCAGTGAAGTATGTTTCAGACCCGCAGGAGAGTGTTTGAGGCTTGAGTAAAGCTGCTTCAGCTCTAGACAACTTCTGGGCAGAGTGTTTCTAAGTGAGCCTGAATACAAGTGTAGAAGTCTCACATCTGGGCAAGTGTGTGCATGGTTTGCGTGTGAAACGCCGTGATGTGCACTTTTACGGCCCCTAAGCAAACATTTTTACGGTTTTTAAAAAGTCTGTGCATGTTTGGGGTCTGATGAAGCATGTGCACCCTAACATACCTCCAAAGTTGAATGTTTACCTTTAAGGCCTGAATTCATTGCAATCCATAAAGGCATCCCATATCTGGGCGTGGGTGCAGATTCTAGGTGCGCATGCCACAGGCATCATTCGGGCACAGGGGAGAACGCCCCCGACTGCAACAACTGGGTGCGCGTGTGCAAAACGCTACCCCCACCCCTACTGACCGCCGTCTCCCAGCCCCCTCACGCATTTTCAGATTTCCTGCCCGAAGAGGGACCAACTTTCCAATAGGAAAAACAACCGCGG